CAGCAGGTACATCGGCCTTTCATCTGTGACTGATCAACACCAGCAGCAACATAACACAGACACAAACTGAATTCTTGTGTCATCCTCACTAGGGTACCAGAAGAAGATGCTGAGTGAGAGAGTGGGCAGATTCATCAGAGTGTGGAACTCCCTCAGAGCAGAGGTGGCAAACAACTGTAAGCATCTGCATGTCTGCTTTAAACCCAAGCAACGAATCTCCATCTGATGATTATCAGTGTCGCTTATTTTATTTTATATTATAAACTGAATGCATATCCACCAATTTTATATATAAAAAATAACACTTTATCAAGCAAAGTCTCATTTAGAGTAAACATAAAGATGTAACTAGGTCCAGATGTGCTTCATGACAGAAAAATAATCACACACTGGCACATATTTAAACACATTTAAAGCTCAGTCACGTGATTACTAAAAAGAAGTGAAGTGATTGTTGGGGTGTTTATTGAGTGTCAGAGCAGTTTTCAGTTCCAGCACAGTGTTTAATATAAACAGTGGGAAGTCTTCAGTGTTTGGTTTCATAATATTTAGTTAAACGGTGGAAACATTACATTTTGACTTTTATTTTGGAAAATGAAAACCTCAGGTACAGTTGTGTTATTTGATGTCAACATGGTTTGGGTTTAGAGTTCGTATTGCAAGAGTTACTTAATATTTTCGGGGCATCAGTTACTAAAGTGACTCATGAACGAGAAGGAGATTTCTGTCTGGGTGATCGGTTTTCCAAAATCATCACCTGGGCTCATTCTGACAGCCGTGAAGGACAAACAGTCCAGTATTAGGAGACTTACAGTTTACGCAGGCTGGTGGGGCCAAAGAACATCCAGCTCCAGGGAGTACTGGTGGCACTGCTTATTGGGAAGAATGTGAAGTCTTCAGTCTTCATATGATTCTGGTTAATGTGCACATGTGTGACTCCTTTCAAATGAAACAACAAAATGCACAGATGATGAGGGAACACTGTGTTTCTTGGCAGAAAGATTCAGTTGTTTTGGGAAGCTGTCAGAGCTACGTGTCAAAAATAAATTCGACTTAAAGAAAGAAAGATGTTTTTATTCAGCTGAGCCGCTGTGTGTTGTTTCATTCTTCTGACTTCTGTGTGTATACAGCAGCAGACTTGGGTGTGGGTGTGAACTTGTGTGAGAGGGAGGTGACAGCCGAGAGCTCTGGGGAGTTTCTGACTCCGAGCCGACACGGCCCGGGATCCGTTCTCCAAACTCTGGTCAACTTCCTGTCGGAGACTCACAACAGCCTGGTGAGAAAGGCCAGGCGAATGAGCGGCACCGAGGACAGGTCAGTCCAACATCAGCTGCAGAGGCTCGTGGGCCACAAGACTAAATCAAAGTGCCGTTTTCTTCTCAGCGTCCTCAATTAAATAACTGTTCAATTACAGGTGAAGCATAATTGGCAAATAGTCTTTTGTAGGGATCGCACTGAGATGAATTAGAAATCTAAGAAGATTCCAGACAACTATATACAATCAATAAAATAAATGAACAAAATTCTTGTGAATTGCTGCTAGATTTTGGACATTAGCAGGAAAATAACTTGCAAAGTGATGCATGTGTTGCTGTGTACTTCATGCTTCAGAATGATAAAAAACTACATTTTGTCACCAGTAACTGATGTAAGATCCTGTTAGACCCCCTCTGGCCTCTCTAACTGTTAAAATCTTCTCCTGTTTTTTCCTCAGTGAGTACAGCGTTCCTTTGGAGAGGATATCAGAAACCCAGCTGACACTGTGCCACCCAGAGAAAGAGCTGCTGCCCCTGGTTTTAGCCCATTGCCAGTACACCTTGAAGAAAGGGGGCGAGACTGACAGCAGCTATGACCTGCCAATCATCCAGACCCAACTGGCACGCCGCTTCCTGGCTGGAAAACCACTTATCAAAGCGGTAATAATCTAAAATGCACGTGGATGTCAGGTAAAGCCAAACTCTCTACTGACCTTTTGTCCTCTTTGGTCTAAATCAGGACACCTCGAGGTACCTGAACCGACACCTGCAGGATTTCTCCATGGTTCTAACTGAAGTCAAAAAAAAGATTCCTCAGGTAAAACCATTTTACACACTGCTTTTTCCAAGGAGCTCTTCCAGCCTTGCACTCTGAATATACAGGACACAGCAAGGCTGCTGTTGTTATCTGGAACTGACAAATGCCAGCTGAGGAATGTTCTCACTAGTTCCTGTGAGGCCACTTTGTTCAAGTTAAATTCCTCCCCTGACGTTCCGCTCCTCAGGCCCACTGACAGCGTCTGTCTTGCAGGAACCGCTGAAGGGTTCGGTGAGCAGTGCCCTGAAAACGGTGCTGCGCTCTTACACGGATGTTTGCGATGCTGTGTTTGTGATGGAGATCGGCCTCCGATTCCTCGGGAAAACAGGCGGAGAGCCCCAGGGTCAGCTTTTGTCCTACCTCACTGATTCACTGCAGATGGGCCCGCAGATTTCAAGCACCGTAGCCAAGGTATAATGTTGCAGATCTGCAGCTTTGTCCGCTATGCAAAGAATGTTTTTATGTTTCTGTCTTTGAAAACTTCAATTATTGTTTGAATTTTGACATAAATCTGTTCTGTAAATCGGAAGTATACCTGAGCTGTGACTGAGAGGTGAAAACAACATTTCAAAGGTCTTTTAAAACTTCTGTTTCTATTCAGGGTCTTGGCCAAAGCAAACTGGAGCACAGCATATTCACCTGGCAGCTTCTGACTTGCTGGAAATCAGAGCTGATGCTCAACAGGAAGCAAGTAAGTGTGAAGAAAATCTTAAAATTCAAGGAATGTTCTCGGTGTGCTCGTTATGCAGTGTGCGGCTTCACCACCGCTCATTAAAGAGCCACAAAACTCCACCCATGGTGACCACACAATTTGTTTTCGAGTCAGTACTGTTACTCGTGACCCCTGCTGGCTGCCAGGGACTGACCCAAACCACACCATGGAGAGTGAATTTTTCGTGGCTGTAATCTGTGGAAAGTGTGCCGTCTGACACGGCAGGCGCCCAGAATCTCACCTCAATAAAAACAGAGAATTATTTTCTCTTTAAAAACTCTCTTGATACCTGAAATCAAGCAGACGGCTACATCTAATTCATGATCGTGTTGCAGGATCCGTTTCAGAAACTGCCGTCTGAGTTCCAGGAGAAGCTTTCGGAAGAGCAGAAGAAAGACCTGAAGGCCTTCCTCGCTGTCACAGACGTCGACACCTTCTCTTTGGAGCTGCATGAAATTCTTCTGCTGAAGACGAGCAGCGCTGTGCCTGACCAGGCTTACCAGCCACACTGGGAGTAAGAGCGTACACATCACAAATGCACCATTTGTGAGATTAGTTGTTGTATGAGGTAACACACCAAATGTTAAAACAACACAAAAACAACAGCATTATTGATGTTTTTACAGCTGAGATTACCCAACAGCTACTTTTGGACTTTCTTTTTTTCAAAAGTGTGCCTTTTGTTAGCGTAAGATTACCACCCCAGTCTAAAGGAATCCATTGATTGTAGACAGCTTTAATGAGAGTAAAGTGTGGCGGTCTCCCCCCCTGGGATTTGGAGCCTTTTGACTTCCAGGGACAACAGCGTGACCCCTCCAGGCAGCCATCTGTCAGAGGAAAGCAGCTTAAGTTGTGTCCCCTCAGCCACAGGTCATTTCTATTGCAGCAGCAGCAGCTGGGTGGGAAGTGAATGGGAATGCTTAAGGATGACAACAATGGATGCAGTGCTAACAGTTGTTTTCTTCATGTCCTCCCTCCCTGCTGTGTGCAGCATCAGGTCCACCTTAGAGATCCATCTGGAGGTGAAAGACCTTCCACCCCTGCCGGAGCTCGAGTCTTTACCAGAGGAGATCAGGCTGGGACAGAGCGCTGATGTGTGGAGGGCAGCTGTGGAGTTTAAAAGGAGATAGAGAGCAGAAATGTTTCTAGAGTTGGCTGCCACTAATTATTCATTCCACATTATTGGATATGTTGTTATTAAATGTGCCTTCATACGATGTAAATATTGTAAATAATTACAGTTGTTAAATTTCTATTACTTAATTGTGCCACGTGCAATTAGGGAACAAGTTAATGAATAAATGAAGGACCGAATACAGATGAGGTATTTCCCAGCATTTTCACAATCTTTATTTTAAACTTTCATCACATGCAGAGTGATTGGAAGCTATGACAATCCCTCGCACACACAGTATGAAGCATCAGGCGGAAAGCCAGTAAATCAAAGATAATAAAGAAATGTTAGCATGGGAACATGCTCACTTAATTTTAAAGATATTGCACACTTTTATTTCTTCTGTTTTCCTTGAATGCAAAGAATGATAGATTTGGAGATTTAGTGCCAAATAAAATAGATTGGGGAAAAAATGGTCCGAGTCTGTTAGTATGAAGTGATAAATCCTCTTGGTGTGAACACTGCACATTCTTGCTCTAACTGTACAGCTATTGAATTTTATATACAAATTATACACATTTTAGCTCAACTTGAATGTCTGGCTTCTTTCTCACGCTCTTATTATGTAAACCAGACTGCTGAGGGTAACCTGTTATATTAGCCATCACAACCACAAGTACCTAAAAGGTAAATTTATAGTTAATATTTAATAATTGCTTATTAGTTGTTGAAGACTTTGTGCCTGGTCTCTTGCCTTTCCGGTCAGCAATACAAACAAAGTTAGTAGCATGTAATGAATATAAAGAATGAAGCCTTTATTCTGGAGCTGTATTAAAGGAAAACTTTATGTAATGCTAAATTAAGTTGGGTCAGCTCACTCTCAAAGCGCATAACGATGCAATGTGCGGATTATTTTATAATAATTTAGAGAAAATCTTGTTTTTTCCTTCACGTCTCCTTTTTTGCAATGTCAACCTAACCGTGGTTTGAGACGCGCCCCCCTCCAAGCCCCCTGAAATATGCGCAGCATACAGACGCCTCTGAACTACCAATCAGGTGCAAGAATGAGGAAGCTTTAGTTTGGTTTCCGCCAATCAGAAACGTCGAAGGGAGGCGATTGTCAGTGTTGCCACAGCGATGATGTTAAAGCGTTATATTTGTGCTGTGAGTCAACGGACTACTTTCACTGGTTATCAGAGGATTGTGTTGGGGATTAACTATCAGTGAGGCGTCCTCAGGCTCTCCAGCTATGGTGCCATCCCGCTTTTAAAGTAAGTACTTGACGCTGACGTTATTGCTTTTACGACGGGCGTTTTTGGCAGGTTGATGGGGCAACATTAAAGGAGTGAACAGTTAGCTCTGACCAGACTTCAGTTAAATAACAGCCGTTTTTATTTCTCTCCAGCTGAGCTACATCAGAGCTTTACAGATTTGATTTGCAAATCAGAAGCAGTGTTTTAATGCTTTTAAAGGGTAAAACAGACAAACACACCGATTTTCACAGGTTTAGCCAACGGGGAGACCAAGCTTACGCAGCTGTAATAACTGCGTTAGCTTAGTGAAACTAACGTTAGCGTGCTGGGGGTTTGTTTTGCTTCAGTTTCTCGTTTGTAACGACCAATAGAGACTTCTGTGGTTGAGAACAGACGATTGGCTAATGTAGTTAACAAAGGTACACCTGCCGGAGTGTCGGGAGCGAGCATGCTGCTCGGAAAGGTAAACATTCACGGTAGCTTCATGCCTCAAACATGCCTTATTTATGGCTAAGTGGGCCGAACCAGTCTAAATAAATAAAAGGTCAAAAAATAATTCACGGTACCGATACTGTCGCGTTATTTATAGCACGACGTTTTAATTGGAGGTATTTAAAACTAACGTGACTGGTGTTATTCTTCATTTGTTGGGGGGCATTGCAGCTGACGTCAGGTGAAGAGTCTCAGGTGAGCACCTGTGGCAGGAAGCACAGGTTGATTGGAGGTGTAATTAAAGATTTGGGATTTTCAGATTCCAAAGTTTGGGAATATTTTTCATAAAAATTAAGATAGCTGCGCGACTTTGTTGTGGAAGGTGTTTCGGTATTGTGACCTTCCTTCAGTCCAGTGGTTCTCAAACAGTGCAGGTGGGGAGCAGCTATCATAAAATGACAAGTAAAGTCATTTTGTTTGTTTGTTGGATTCTTTTTTTAACTGCTGAGTTATTCATCCACGAAGCAGGTAGACACGGTTGCTTTAAAGCAATTACTGAAAGAGAAGAGTTGTGATAAACTCCATCCCACTCATTTCTTAATATTTTGCTCCAGTGACTCAGAATGTCTTGCCATTTTTAAAGTAGTCTTGAACAATAGTTCTCCAGGCTTTCTGAAGGTCGTTCAAATTTTTTCTTTGGGAGTGCATTTCAGCCATTGGACTGTCAAAATTGATAGAATTATGCAGCAGCTTCTGGAAAAAGCCTGATTGGCAGTTGCTTCATTTTGCAGTAAAAGCATATCAGACTCAGAATCACAATCAGAGAGACTTTATTTATCCCCAAGGGATATGGAAAGAAAAGCACACTATCATGGCTCAGTCTCCACAGAGCCTGGACATCAGCATTACGGAAGCATTGTCAGATCATTTTGACAGAGAAAGAAAAAGCAGCGAACATCCACAGAAGAGCTTTGAATGTCTGAGAAACCCAGAGAACTATTCCTGAAGATGCTTGGAAAAGAGTTCAGGCTGTGCTGAACAATAAAGGCAGTCTTACCAAATATTAACTGTGCAAACTGTTATGTTTTTTTTGCCTTTTATCATTGAGTTAAATACACCTCTAAATCATTCCCCTTTTTTTAGTGTAATGATGCAAACTCAACTAATTAATGGCTCTCTGGGAAAAACTTTGCCCACCCTTGATTAAGAGCCTGAGATATCTAAGTGCTTGTTCAATATTATTTAGCAATGTGAGTCTATTTTTCTGTATTCAATCTGCTCAAATGTAAAGCTGTCAGTTGTTAGGATTATGGAAAGAAGCAACTGTAGTATTTTACTTCTTTGTGATCCAGACAACTTGTGAAGAGCTGTAAGCGCTTTTCTCCTGTGTAGTAATCCTGGAGTAGGAGTGCATTTTAATTATAAAATTCACGTTATCAATGCAATATTACCACTATGCAGCTGTCCATCAGGATCATTCCTTAGTTTTCACATCTCTCTCTGTTTTTGAGCTGGTGTAAAAGTAGTGCGTGGTGTTGTTGTTGGTTACCACGGGAAACAAAGCGGCCAGAGGAAAAAATGGCTGTTATTTCCTCTATTGTTGTGGTTTCACACATTGAATTTGTGGCCGACCGTGTCGATTCAACTCTGTTCCAGGTTTTTAAAGGATGCACACAACACGCAGCCCTTCGTCCATCCCATCAGGTGTCTCAGGAGACGCCCTGGATCTCAGCTTGTCAGGCTCCCAGCTGTCTATGTCCAAAAGGCCCAGCAGTGCGTCGCCGGGGAAATGCTTCTCTCGCTCTGTTTCGGTCTCTGTGGCGGGCGATAGCAGAGGCAAACGCAACACTTTAGTGAGTCACAGATAATTAAATCAGAATGTAGAAATGCTTGTTTCTGAATTCTTCGCATAATGTCTGGAATGCTCTTTATTCTGCAGAGCGACACCAGCTTTGGCAGCTCGCGATCCATCAAGAACTTGAGGCGGTCCAACAGCACCACGCAGGTCAACCAGCAGGCCAACATCAGGTGCAAACATAGAATCTGGGCACTGTACAATGAAGCACGTTCAAGATGTCTTTTACTTGCACTTCTGCTGACATCAGCAATCAGGCTAAGCAGTCACGTGATTATGATTATTAATGTCATAAATCAACCCAGCTTTTATCAATCTATCTGTGAGCGCGTTCACATGAAAGGGACGATGTTGGCAGCATCTTAACTGGCAACAGAGCGACTGATTTTAACAAAAGAAGATAAACTATTGGAAAAATATGTGGAGGTTAAACACAATACAGACTGAAAGTAACACAACTGCTGCAGGTAAAGCAGCAGGAATGTGAGTGTGTGCAAGAGGAAAAGTATAGTAAGTGCTGCTTGAATGTGTGCGGGCTTTACACAAAGAGCTGCTATCCTAATAAAATTCAGTCTATTTGAAGCCAGGAAGAAAAGCTGAATTTGTAAATTAACAAATTTAACTATTGGTATGACAGCTCCATCATTAAGATAAAGACAGTTGCGTACTCTCTTAAATTAATGTTTAGATGTGCACACAGTCTTAGTTTGTATTCTTTCATCTGCAGTGACATTGATGTTAAACAGTCTGTGGGTGAAGAATAAATACAAAAGCAGAATTCAAATAGAGACTTGGCCTACATAGATGATTATCAAGTACTTTAGTTACCTTTACTTATCTGGTATTCTATATTGAAGGACGGAGAAAATAAAATTGTTTGTAGCAGCAGAAAAAAGCAAAGCTTCACCAAAGAACGCAGAGAAAGAAAAAGACGTCTGAGGGACCTTCCAGGAGTGGTGATGCTGTTTTCTGGAGAACTGATTATGATTTGATGTTTGATGATTTCTTATCTCAGTAATACTGTGAACCAGAGCAATGCACCCCAGTAAGAAGTGCTTTATACCGGGAGTTATCTGGATAAGCTCCTGCTCCTTATTATAAACCTCTGTCGGTAATAGCACACTGACTGTCCGGCATTTGCAGCCTTGAATTTTTTATTTTCTTATCTCTGACATTGACAATCTGCAGTTTATACAGAACACTTTGTACTGAGACACATACTCTGCTAATCAGCCTGGGAAAACCTGCTTTTGGGCTCTGTTGGATCATCAAGCATCATTCCACTAACGCACAAGATCTGAAATCTGAAGGTCATGTTTGTAGTCAAAAAGAATGCGTACATCTTAGATGATGTGCAGGCTTGAAGCCGTGTGTGTCTCTTTCACCTTTGCTCTTTAAACCAAAGTGTCTCTCTTCAGCGAGCAACAGCTGGCAGCCCTGACGCTCCAGCAGCTCGGACAATGGGAATTTTGGCGCGCCGGCTCTTGCATGATAAAGAGCGGAGGGGTGCTGGGTGGCTGTTGCTGGGGGTTGCAGGGTGCATAGACTCGCTTTGTCCCTCATTAGAGGGGGAGGGCTGGTACCTCTGGGGTCAGGTTACCCCCTTCCACAAGGACACAGTGAAAGGAGAAGAAGTGTGTGTGCATGCTGTGGTTGCATTGTGTGGCAGCTGCCGCCCTCCCCTTCCTGCCTCTGAGGATGCAAATCTGAGGGGCTTTAAATGTAAAGACATACTAAGCACTCCCCTCACCCTCCAAAAGTCTCCAGAGTCCTTTTCGGGCTGTCATTGGGTCACTCGCCAGCCCTCTCCCTCTCGGCTGCTTCCTCCTCCTAAGGCAAAAAGTAAAGGAATGTGCAGCCTGAATAGTGTTGTCAGATTTCTTTTCATTGGGCCAGCTGGCTTCAGCCCCCTCCCTCACAGACACACACGCTCATTTACACACTTACACAGACGGAAACACCAGCAGAGGCCGAGCCAGACAGGAGGTCACCCTACATCTGTGCCTCACGACGGACAGCTTGGTGCATAAAGCTATTTGAAGGCTGCATGATGAGCCGTGGGATCAGCATATGCATGCGTTTACATGGGATCCATAACCCAGCCCATACTCCCCCCAGCAGACGGTCAGTTGCTGCATATTGAATTCCAGCGCTTGGGGCTACAAGAGTAAGGATGAGACGCGTTTCTGCAGCTGTCATTACAACATTTATCACAGAAGCTCCCACTAAAGGCCACAGCTCAAGTTTCTGCTTTGTGTCACTGCTAAGCCCCCGTGCTGCACCCAGATTGTGCTTTCAGCCACATTTAATGATGTTTTCAAGAATTTTTGGGCTTACGGGTAACATTTGAGTCTTTTAAAAAATAGCAAAGAAAGCAAAATCAAGTAAAGCTGCAGGTCGTGGAACCAGAACCGCAGTTCAGTTCACAATTCTTGACCACTCTTTAAACATTACAGCTCTCAACCGACTAGCATTCTTAACCAGGTATTAATAGCCTGATATCATTATTTTGGGAAGTTGAGTCTACGAGTGTACGTTCGTGCCAGATTTAACCGATTTTGCTCTAATTTGCACATCATGGCACACCCGTAGCTACATTACTGTTTTTTTATTTTGTCCAAACAGAAATAAAAATAAAATCGTGGTGACAGTCGTAGTAATGCGTCATGTTACAATGATAAAGTAATGTGAGCACTACCTCATAACACTCTGTTCTCAGTGGTATCCTTCCATGCAGATGTTCTTTCTGATATCATCTGTCTGTGTTTGTGGTCTAACTCCTGCCTGTTGTTTTCCTCAGTGAGGACCAGAGGGAGGACTACTTGGCCCTGTTTGACAGCAGCTCCGATGGACGCAAGAAGTTGGCGAGCCTGAGCAAGACCTCGCCAGACAGAACCACATGGAACATCCTGGTATTTACCTTCGATCTTATTCCCACTCTGTCGTCATATTTACACCTTTCATAGAGGAATTATTTACCGCGGCTCGCTGCAGGTTTCTCCTCTGCAAAAGTTTTATTTTGACAAGTTTGTCAAGTTTTCCAACTGATGTATTCATAAAAAACTACAACGTACAGTACTGCTGTAACTCCACAACGGCCCGACAGGGATTCTCGTCTGGAAATGTTTGAATGCTGAAGACGTGATGAACACAAAGAGTTCCGATAAAAAGCTGATGAATGAGACGAAGCACTGAGGCACACTGTAAGGACAAGATCAAAGGCTGGAGACACTTGAATCTTGGAAAAATGGTTGAAACAGTACGGCTTTACAAGCAGATACATTTCAGTTATTTGGCAGCTGAAGTAACCAGTAACAATGTTTAACAAACTCTTTGTGTCTTTCCAATCATACACACTTTCTAGATTGTCGTGTTTTGCAGTATTTCAGGGTGTAATGACTGTTTGTTTTCCACCGTTAAGGACGACCAGCCGAGAGCTTTCCCCCCGCACTCGAGCTCCCGCAGCACCGGCAGCGTGGACTCTCCCACCAGCCTGAAGAAACGAGAGCCTGGCATCGCTCTGGCTGCCAGCTTCACTGCCAACAACAGGTGGGCCTCGTCTCTCACACACACACACACACACACACACACACACACACACACACACACACACAATAGTCCAGGTGTCTCCTTGCATTGCTGAATTCTCAATGTTTAGCCGCTTCTCGTATTTCATACCTGTTGATCACAGCAGCTGATATTTCTTCAGAAAATTCCACCCACACAGAATATTTCTTCCATGAAATATGTCAGAAAAAAAATCCTGCGTGGGCTGAGATTGTAATTGGATAAGAATATGTCTTAGTTATTTTAATGCCTGTGGGAGGATGAAGTGGGGAAAGATGAGCTGATGAGTCTGATTGTCCTGTTTTGTTATTTTTGCACAGGAGCAACAAGGGAGCTGTGGGTAACTCCGTCACCACCATCTTACACAATAACTACTCGGAGAAGCCGCTCACACCTAAGAGCTCCAACCAGAAGCCTTCTTTCAAGTATGTCCTGAAATCAAAGAGCTGCTCCCTCACACAGCTTCAGTGACGCGTCGTCGATTATCTTCACATTTACAGTCCGCTTTGCGTCTCGATTAAATTGCAGGGCAGTTTTTAAGTTTTTTATTTTCCGTGTTTCTTTCAGTAACATCCTGAAAGCCACAGCGAACGACGAGGTGTCGCTGGAGAGCGGCTCCCTCACTAAGTCCCAGAAAAATTTCTCCACCACCTCCCCCGCCTCCAACAACAAATCCCCAGTGTCAGCTCAGCGCGGCAGCCCTGTCCTGCTACGGAGGAGGGAGGTGACAGAGGAGGAGGCTGAAAGGTCAGACCCACATGACAGTGTTTCCACTGTGTGCGTGTGAGCTGCTCTGTTGTTTTTAGTCTGGGCGACCTGAAAGTAGTGGTAAAACTGACGTTTGTCCAAAAAACCACAAGCACTTCTCTTGTGTATCTGCAGGTTTATTCAGCAGGTGAATCATGCGGCGGTCACTATTCAGCGCTGGTACAGACACCATGCCAAGAGGCGACACGCTAACCAGGCAGCGCTCAAACGCATCCTTGACAGTAAAAGAAAGGTATCTATGTGCCCCTGCAGGCTGTCTCACAGCTCCCCTTTTATTCGGCGTAATATTAACTGGGTTTGTCTTTCTCCTTGTTTTGCGGCTGCGCTGAAACAATCTGCATCTCTCCTGTCGAAGGAGTGGGAGGAGAGAACAGAGGAGGAGAGGCGCCTGGAGCAGCAGCAGAGGAAGGACGAAGACAGGAAACGGATTCGTGAGGAGAAGGCTCGTCTTGCCCGCCTCGCTGCCATCCAGGTGCTCACCTCTGATTACACAGCATGTGGTTCCATAAAGTTATGAGACTGAAGCAGAACAGCCTCAGATAGCTTTAATCTTGGATGTTATATTTTATAATGCAATTGTGAAACATGTTTCGTTGGACCTTCGTAGTAAAGATTTTCATTTAAAAACTGCAATAGCAACCACAGACTGTATGTCAAAGATGGCTGTCGCCACTGTGAGGTCACCCTTTGGTTTAGGACTCAACATTAGTGCTTTTGCTGTAAAGTTGGACGTTTTAAAATTGGAGTCTGTGTACTGAGTTGTTTTCATAGCCAGCCTCAATTATTGGATTTTTGGCACTAGCTTCATTTTTCCCGGCCTGCTGTTTGCTGTTGGATGTTATGCAACTGTGTAAAACTAAGAGCACCGTGTCTATATATGAAAGGAGGCTTTGTGGATCCAAGTCTACTTTGTAAAGACATTGATTGTCACTTTGTGTCTGAGTGCTGCACAGTTTTATCATCAGCATTACGTTTATCTCCCCCTGCTGCTCTGTTACAGGAGCTGCAGCAGAAAAGAGCTCACAAGGCTGCAGCAGACACACAGCATGCAGCAGAGGCGGAGCCTGAAAACCTGAGGCAGACCGCCGTGGTAGGCCGAAAGAAACTGCCCAAGATTTCCCCGACCAACAAAAGTCCAGCCTCACCGAGCAACAACAGCCTGATGTCGCCCACAGATGTTAAGACGAAGAACACAGGTCCACATTGTTTCACTTTGCAGTGGAATATTTCTTATATAGTGCTTTTCTACTAACATGTCTCATTCATACACACGTTCATAAAAGGCCTTTTTCCTACATCTGAGGGCTTTCTATCAAACATTCACACTCAGTATCTTTCAGTATCGCGGTTCTCGAGCAGCAGGGGTTGAACCGCCATCTTTCCAATTAGTAGATGCCCTCCTCCACCTGCTGACTCCCACATAATTACTGTTAATGTGTTTGCAGCTCATTTTAGGACACAATGTCTCATTATTTTTCATTAACAAATATTATAGGAAGTAATTTATATTCAGTGGAAATGTAGTCTTTAAAAATATACAGCGTATAAGAGCCCTGGTTGTTGTTATTCAGCACTATAATGTAAATATTACAGCTACCTACAGTCTTGTCTGATTGCCAGGAGAGTGTTATGAGTAAGCATGAATAAAGTAGCAGTAATATGTTTATTGATTTATTGTTTGTTTCCACAGACTCTAATCTGAATGTTGTGGCTGACTTGGGTGATCTGACCTTCAGAGCCATTTCCCCAGCTTTGTCCAATCACAGAGGCTCTCAGTGCTCCCAGGTACCTGCTTAGCTCTCCAGGTAATCGATTCTTTGTCTTCCTTGTATTGATATGTTAAATATTTTTGGGTTTGCAGGAGGACCGAGCAGAGGAAGACAATTCCCAGGAGCCACATCAGACAAGTGAGAGGAAACCGATCCGTAAGGAGAAAGCTCGCCTGATCCGCCCCACTGCTACCAAAACAAACACGCCTGATGTACGTGCTTTGTGGTAATCCCTGCTTGAGTGTTTAAGTGATGTTTTAAATGAAAATACTATTTGTATAGTCGTGATGTAAAAGTCTCCCTCTGTTTAAAAGTTGTCCTTTGTCTCCCTCTGGTGGTGTGACACAGGGACCGCAGCACATAAAAGCGCAGCAGGCCGCAGAGACGCAGCACACTCTGGAGTTGGAAAACTCGAGGCAGACTGGTGTGGGAGGACGTAAAAAAACGCCCAAGATTTCCCTGACCAACAAAAGTCCAGCTTCACCGAGCAACAACAACAACCCGATGTCGCCCACAGATGTTAAAACGAAGAACACAGGTCTGTGATGTGTGTCTCGGTCCCAAAAGACTTTATTAAAAACTGAAACGAAATTGAACTACGTTGCATTTAACATAAACAGTGTCTTTGTTTCCACAGACTCTAATTTAAATGTTGTGGCTGACTTGGGTGAGCTCAGCTTCAGAGCTGTTTCCCCAGCTCTGTCCAATCGCAGAGGTTCTCAGTGTTCCCAGGTAAAAATGACAATTTCCAATATTCCTTGTTTTAGCGTGCATTTTCTGTTGCTAATTCTTGCATCTGATCATTTTTAAACACATTTGCTCTGTTTGTGCTCCAGGAGATCCTGCAGAGGTCGGTGAGCGTGGAGGACCAGAGGCAGGGAGCCTCATCCAGCAGGGCTCAGTCTAAAACCACCCTCAATGAGCTGCTGGACACCCTAAAGCTGTTGGAGGAGGAGCCGGAGAGGCTGTCGGAGCCGAAGTGCTACCGCAAAGAGAAATACGCCTGGATCGATGAGGTCAGCGCGTTATGTTGCACTAATTTTTATGGTTTTTCTTGTAAGAAATTTTGTGAACTAACAATGACGCTGTGGCTGTAATTAAAGGACGGGGACTCCAACTCTTTGACCACTGATAACCTGGAGCGTCACGGCCAGCTGAGCCACCACCCTGCGCTGCCAGATGGGGGCGCCCTGCTCTCTGAGGCCAAGCTGCAGAGTATCATGAGCTTCCTGGATGAGATGGAGAAGTCAGAGCAGGAGAGGCCACGCTCTGTCACCTCAGGATCACACCGAGAGGTCCGTTTATTGGCTAAAGCGCCACAATGTACTTCATTTAGCAAGCTGACACAGATTTGAACGTTTCTGACCAGTTTGGGTTCTTAAAAGGTTTGATTTAGAATATTTAACAGAACAAAACATGTATTATGTTTAAGTAAAGGAAACACAGTTAGGTATACTGGTTAAAAAATAACCATAAATCTCTGTGGGCTGAGAATAAACAGACCGTGACTGTGTGCAGGTGTTTTTCCCTATAATTGCTGAGGACCATCCAGTTAAGCCAGCCCTTTAAATTTATGGATAGATGTTCTGTGAGTCTGTCCCTGGTTGTTTTATCTAAAACTGAAAGGTGACATGTTGGCTTCGCTGTGCTTTCAGGCTGTTTTGTCTGAGGAGGAGCTGGCCGGTGTTGAGCAGGCGTCGGCCACTGCTGCCGAACTCACCGGCTCCATGATGAGGATCAAACTGGAGCTGGAGGAAAAGAAACGCACCGTCAACATGCTGCAGACCGCTCTGGTAGGAGAGATTAACACTTGTCGCTGTTTTTACCTGCTTTAGATGGTCGCGCTTACAGCTCGTGTCATGTCTGTCAGGCCCAGCAGAGGGAGCTGACGATAAGACACGTGAAGGAGACGGAGAGGGAGCTGAGCAGGAACTTCCAGCTCCAGAAGGAACAATATGAATCCACCATCCAGAGACACCTCACCTTCATCGATCAGGTATGCACTCGTTTCGTCTTTGTTATTAATTTACGTGGTTTCTACTCGAATATTTTCAAACCTTGTTTGTATAATCGGGCCAATAAAGGTTGATGTTGGTCCAGACAATGATGAAGCAATACAGCACACATGCAAAGAGTTGGTAAGCAAGATGGGCTTGTCTCGACGGTCTTCGATGTTTTCCTGTTGAGTGTTTCAGTGTTTTTTTTTTTTAAACATCACATCTGAAAAATGTTTGATGTTTCTTCAGCTCATCAATGATAAAAAGGCTCTGAGCGAGCGCTGTGAAGGAGTGGTGGGAGAACTGAAGCAGGTGGACCAGAAGTACACCAAGAAGATCGCACAGATGCAGGAGCAGCATGAAATGGTAAGAGAGGTCCCGAGCGCTTCTGCAGATCTCTCCTGCCTCTGCTTTGCCTCCTGCGTGACTATGTCGTGCTTTCTTGCAGTGCTGCTTTTGTTTAATTTTCTCTTTTCTCTCTATTTCCCCTCCTTCTTCTTCTTTACTGTCTTTCTTTCTTGTCTGTACACGTGTTTTGTTTCCTGCTTTTAGGTGTGGCAAATTCTCGGTCCCTTGTGTGAGGTAACTTTTCTTCCCCTCTTCTAACTAAGTCATCTTTGGAACAGTCGTTTCCTTCATTCTTCCATCATTTGTCATTTCATTTTTCCACACACTGTTTCTCTTGGCCAGTCTGTTTGCATGTGAGTCTCTTTCATTTATCTACATTTTACATTCAGATGAAAAAGCTTACACTTCTTGATGTTATTTAAGTTTTTCTTTGCCAACGATTTTAACCCTACTTTTCCTTTTATTACCTTTCACCATCACTGTCCCAGTGTCAAAGTCCCCTAAGAGCACCCTACTTTGTTTAGAAAGACAGATACTGTGCTGCTTGTGTATTAAAGATCTTCATCATTTTGGTGGCGCTCAACTTTGATACCATAATTTTACCCTCTCCCCTTCCCGACTCCCTCGCTCAACAGGAGATCAAGAAGTTAAAAGACCTGATGAGTGCCACGGAGAAGATCCGACGGGAGAAATGGATCGATGAGAAAACCAAGAAGATCAAAGAGATCACAGTCAAAGGTAGCGCAGACAGAGCCTGGAAATCTGAGCTTACAGCAGCTTTACCAAAGCGCTGCTCAAACACACAAGGCAAAGAGGAAGAATGCACCCTGCTCCAGGAAGACGTTTTGTTTTTATCAACACTTTTGTTCACTTTATATCAAGAAAATAAATATTTCTGATTCCACGCTTTTAGATTCACATATCGCCTCATTCAGATTTCATATGAGATCTGAAGCACAGATACAAAGGTATCAGACGGTGTCATGGAATTTATTCCCATTTATAGCACCAAATCACAACAACAGTCGCCTCAAAGCTCTTAATAATTAAGGTAATTATTAAGAGAAACCACAACCATCAGATGACCCTTACATGACCAAGCACTTTGGCAACAGTGGGAAGGAAAAAATCCCCTTTCAACTTACCGGTTGAGGCTGACAGGAGGAAGACAAGACGAACAACATGTGTGGATATATATTCACATATGTAAAAGCTCGGTTTTGGTTTAGTCTTAACAGGCCTTCAGCTTTTCTTCTGTGCTGATAAAGTCTCAGACTTTTCACGTCCCTGAACTTTGCAGGTTAATGTTGCTACGCACTCCAGAGATTCCTCCTGCTTAGCACCTGTTATATCACAAGTGCACAATATGACAGCAAAAACATAAGCAAACAGTGTAGTGAAAGCAGCACTTTGCATTCATTTGCATTGAGATTATTTATCAATCAGTCTATTATGCTGTTTAACAAGATACCAACAGAGGGCCTTCCACTTTGGACTTGAAGGCCACAGTCAGACTCAACTATTTGAGTTCATTCATGTTCTGGTTTTGATTTGAAGCTGGGAATATAATTATTTTCTCTTTATTTATTTAGAGAGGTGTGGTAAATATTAGCTTGTAATGCCTTGCATCGATATTTGTAATATAACAGTCTTTTTCACTGTTGAGCTCTGCAGTGGTTCATGTCGGACAATTAGCTTTATGGAGGCTAATTAAAAAGGTAATACTGATTTAATTAGATCGTTTAATGTCAAGGAACCTCAGAGTGCACGAAAGTGGACTTACAGTGGACCAAAAAACGACTTTAGTAAGGATGTCTTGCTCTTTGCCAGTAGTCTCACACAGCCTCTGGTAAAATTATCTGCTGTCTGCTGGGTCCAAGGTGTGGCCTTTCATTTACTTTGGCATAGTCAGAGCTGTATTATGTGCTTGACAGTTACCAGACAAATGCTGGTAAATAAACTAAGTAGTGCAAACACAGCAGTTGTTCTGTGTGTAGCTTGGATTATGGGCAAAATGAACAACAGTTTCCAAAAGCTGACCGTGCTGTTCCACTGCTCTGTCTGCTGTGGGCCGCTTCCATGAAACGTCACAGGCTGTTGTCAGCCAGAGCTGATGAGGCGTTTGTGGCAGGCCCGAGGATGTCGAACTGTATTTCAGAGGCATTTCTCTCCTGTGTTTGCTTCTACTTCACTAACACGTTCAGGTTTTTGATTAAAGACGTGAATATTAAAAGTTTGTCCTGTGAGCTTTAAGCATCGTGCAGACCCTGTCCATCTAAAGCTCGAACATTTTTTCTTCCTCCTCTCAGGCCTCGAGCCCGAGATCCAGAAGCTGATCTCTAAACACAAGCAGGAGCTGAAGAAGCTGCGGACGCTCCACGAGGCGGAGCTGCTGCAGGCGGACGACCGGGCTGCTCAGCGCTACGTCCGGCAGTGCGAGGACCTCCGTCAGCAGCTGGAGAAGGAGAAGGAGGAGCAGTGCCAGAGAGCGCGGGAGCTAGCCAAACAGAGGTGGGCGTGTCACAGTATATACTCTGTCTACCTGCCCAAGGCTCTCTATGCTCAAAGAGATGCAACAGAAACAGCTAACATCAGCATTAAACTGTCTTGGAATCAGTTTTCAAGACTGCATGAATTTCCAGCACACAGTGTTTTATAAACTTTTAGATCAGGCATTTATGGGGGTGACACTCAGTGTGACATTCAAACCTTGGATTAGAGAAGATCTGAGGCAAAAAACCATCCAAAATGCCCTTTTCTTCTTGTGCTTGTGCTACAATCAGCAGACTAACACGTGTTCTATATTTTGATAAATTTGACCCCATTTTGTTTTTAAAATAAGGTAAAACCTTCTTTAGCTCCAGTCCTCGTGATTTCCTTTTGGTGAAAGGACAAAACCTCTTTCATGGGCACCAGTGCTTTTATATGCAGGAAAGCCCTGCTAATGCAACAGCATCATTAGGCACTAATACTTCCACTAATCCTTTCCTGTTTTTATAGTTTTAAATGGATTAATGAGATACATTAGCTAATCTAATGGTTGTAGCGCACACCAATAAAAACATCTCAATGCTGCAAAAAAGCCCTCAGTCAGCCCTTTGGTCATGCAGGGAGTCAGTGCTGGAAATCCTGAAGATGATGGAAAATGCAAACTTGGAACAATGGGCTTTCATTTGGTACGAAAATGAGACTTTTGTTTGCATTTTACATGAATTAAATATTAAAATAAACTCAGACATTCAGATCAATGTGCTTACATTAAAAAAGGTGAATTTTATTTACTTACGCAGGTTTAGTTTTAAATTTAAGGTGAAGTCCAGCTGACGTGAACATGGCCTTCCATCATTAAAGTTTACTCTGCATGTTGCTGATGAATATTTTTAGTGTTCACATGGTTCAGATGAGAGATACAATAAAGATTCTGGCTTTTCATGTTACTCACATCATGGCACACAGCAGTCCACGTTAGCAGCTGTTTCTTAATTAGACGCCTGCTTGTTTTCCAGGCTTTTGTGCAGATTTAGTCATCGTCTGTGTTTGTGTGTCTGTCTCTCAGATATGAGAAGCAGCTTCAGGAGGAGGAGGTGTCTCTGCAGCAGCAGCGCAGGCGTCTCTACAAGGAGGTCGCTGATGAGAAAGAGAGGCTGGCCCAGCTGGCTGCAAGGTAAGGTCAAAGGTCAGGTTTATCTGCACGAGCTATTTTAATGGATCTTTACAGGATCCTTTCCCATATAACACATCCTTAATGAGTCAACAGTTTTTTGGCATATGGGATGAGTGTTGATGTTTCTGTCCATCTCCAAAGCACTGGTTTGTGTTTGTGTCACAGGCAGCGCGCTGAGCTGGAGGATCTGCGGCGGCAGTTGGAGGAGAATAGCTCTCTGGCTGGACGAGCCCTCAAAGAAGAGCTGGACAAGACCAGGGAGGAGCAGGAGAGGAGACATCAGGTGAGGACACTGCAGAGCCGCGTCAAGAGCCTGAAATAAGTCTGCGTTCTATCAGCATCACGAGCATCCATCTGAAAGTCTCACGCTGAGTGTTGTTTGTGCGTTTAGGTGGAAATGAAGGCGTTACAGGAGCGTCTGGACATCGAAAAGCAGACGTGGGAAGAAAACTACAAGAAGAAAGAGGTTTGTGCAGCCTTGTGCTGTATCTGCTCTCATTCGCTTCTTCTTTTCTTCAGATTGAAGTGTGGCTGCTGTATACTCTGTCAGTGGGAAGTGTTTGACTAACTGACATGTAGATGTCTAGGTTACCTTCTCTTGCTTGTTTGCCTGGGATTATTATCCCTTTCCTTTTTGTGTATCAGTTTCAGATAGAAATGTTGTAATGTGCGTGTCACAACACAGGAATGTGGCAGGTTTCCAGCTGACCTCTACCCTCCAGCTTTCTCCTCAAATCAAACTGTGGATTTGTAGCAAAACATGAAACTGTTTCTCAGAGAAAGCAGAAACACTGACAGTGGAAAAAGAATTAAAAAGGGCGCGATGACAGATGAGGCTGAACTGACAGTGTTAGAATTCAGTACCATGTGTGTAGACTAACAGCATGCGTGTTTCTGTGTGTCCACAGGAAGCGTGGCTGCTGACCCGTGAGCGCGAGCTAAAAGAAGAACTGCGAAGAGAACGTGACAAAGAGATAGAGCTCGCCATCTGGACGCTGGAGGAGGAGACCAGCAAGGACAAAGAGGAGTGTGAGAGGGCAGCGGAAAACAGGTGTGTGTGTGTGTGTGTGTGTGTGTGTGTGTGTGTCTAATTTAGACAGTGTGACATTATTAGACATTGAATACGATACAAAAAATCTAGCAGCCTGGGTTGTTGCCCAGTAAAGATTCACTGCAGTTTCTGCTGTTGGTGGCAGATTTATCTGTGTTTTTTATCATAGATGTTTCATCATTTAGTGAAATATCAGTGAGAAACTTTCAAAGGTCCCCTTTTACCTAAATTTGGATCCAAGGCCCATTTAGTAGCTGTGACTCCTTCTGTGTCAACATCATTTCTAACGTGGATGTGCTTTAATAGTACAGCATTGGGCATTTTTTAGTTTGTTTTTAACAACTATATTAAAAGTCACATTTGTGTTCTGCATTCCTTTTACAGGCTAAAGCGCGTGAGGGAAAAGTACGAGACTGAGCTGAGGGAGCTGGAGCGCTCTGAGAGGACGGCGGTGGCGAAGCAGCAGGACCTGAGGAAGCAGCAAATGGAGACGGAGGGAGAGCTGATCAGACTGCAGGCCGCACTTAGACAGAAAGAACAGGAAACTGAAGAGATCACGCAGGTAAGGAGCATCATTCAGAGAGAGACACTAAAATTGCAGCTTAGAAGTGATTTGAGATTATTTGCTGTGTTATACATTTACTAGCCAGTGGAAAGTAGACACAGAAATAGAAAATATGTTTAGACAGATCCAGTAGAATTCCTCCAACTTCCCTCATCAGGCCAGGGACAAGTTGGCGGAGGAGCGCCGCAACCTGGCGGAGGTGATAAGGCAGGAGTTTGCCGACCGCTTGGTGATGACGGAGGAGGAGAATCACAGGTTGAAGGTGGAGGTGTCAGAAGTCCGAGCGAGGATGCGGCTGGAGGTGGAGAGGGTCACACGGGAGAAAGAGGAAGAACTGGCAGAAGTCCACCAACGGTAAGCTGGAAGGGACAAAATGATTTAAGTAAAATGGTAAATTTTAAAAGCGAATTGTATTATTTTTCAGTTTTAAACCCCTAAAAACACAATTAAGCTTCAAATATCAGGTCTAATTCTTTACTAACACAACCTTTAACTAGTATGGACCATTGTTGAAACTGGGAACTAATGAGAAACAACAAATATTACATCCTTTGGATTTACTGGGAAAGAGAGTTGAGGCTCGGGTGTGAAATTGATGGTTTTCAGGGTTTTTATCGTTAAGAGAGGACGACGTTACTCTCAATGTTGTTGGCGCATTTCAGGAGGACGCTGCTAATAAAGTTACACAATTATACAGTGAATTTGCGTTTATTATTATATTTACAACATACCACAGTTTTTGTCTCGGTCGTATCATTTTATTTTGTTGTATTTATCCACGACACCTTAAATGCCGGTCTGTGAAAATATTGTCCGACGTTAAACTGATCTGTGGTGCAAAAAAGGTTGGGGACCGCTGTACTAGGAGGCTGAGCGGTACCACTGGTCACCACCTGTAATTTTTTAATGATCTGTTCTGACATTAGCTTCATGTGTGTAACCATTTTGAAGCCAAAGCTGTGAGTGAGTCACCATCTCCAGCTGTCTGCCTGTGGATTTAGGTCAGCAGCAGTGTGCAAACATTCAGTAGGTCTTGTCACAGGCCTGCTGGCTGCTTACAGATTCACCCTGTTGAAGGTGCAAAGCGAAATGTTGGCACACGGCTTGAAAGTGAAGCTCAGGCTTAATAAAAGGTGGAACCTTAAGCAGCTCCACTGAATGTCTGCCAGTTTGTAAGAGATGCGAAACACGAGAAGGACAGAGGGTTGGAGCAATTCTGAAGGTGACCTGATTAACGTGAACGCGACGTTCAGTGCGGCTCTGAAACGTTTGTCTCCTGAGCAGAAGGCCGGCTCTGTGACACTGAATCTGATTAATAAACATTCAGGTACTGTGGCAATTTTCCAGATGTTCAACCTGGCTGCAGCACTGGTGACATCCAACACTGGTGCAGGATGGCTTCAGTCGGCGTTTCAGGTCATTAAAGTAACAAGATGATTCAAGTCAAGGGATTCCTGGGAAACTGGAGCTGACTAGCTTACAAAGGCAGCACACACACGATTTCCTAAATTATCAGCATATTATTTAACAAGGCTCGCATTTCAGTTTCTTCTTAATGTCAGGAAATGTCACAAGGAAGGCAAACATACTAAAGTGCAGCACCTCAGTTCATTCTCAATCTGAAACCACCGCTAAGCAGACTGTCTTCTCATTTCCTGTGCCTCACAAGACTTAAACAGCGTGTGGGTGGGGTTAAACAGAATAGGAAATGCTGTGTAAAGCCTGTGTACATACACTGGCCTCATTATTTGAAGCTTAGGCTGTGTTTAATATCAGCAAACTTCACTGTGACAGCATATATCAGGCACACAGATTAGCCACTTAAACACATTCCCAAAGCACCTGGCAGTGTAGCTTTAGGAAAATATCCCTGATGTGTGACTGTGAGGGTCTGATACAGTCAGGATCACTCTTTGATGCTTTTAATTATTTTAGTTTGAGGAACATATTAAGAGCTCTGCTTTCTTTTCTTTACTGAGGTTTAAATATGCAGACCAGATTATGACACATGTAAACCAGGGGTGTCAAACATAAGGCCCGGGGGCCAGAATCATCCCAGCAAAGACCGGATGGCTTTGAAAAATGTGAAGTACCCCAAAGTAAATAAACACGAGGCAAACGATTAAATTGGAGAAAAGCCCCTGTTGGCTATAGAAGCTTCTGCTCGTTACAGTGTGTCCACAGTAAGAAACAAAGATCAGTGAATTCATGGAAACTTTCTGTTTTCTAAGTACAGTCTGACACTGAGGCACCAGAACTGCTTCTGTAGTTCTTTCATTTACTGCAGCAACGTTTCTTTATTATGTAGAAAAACTAAGAAATGCTGTTGAAATTAGATTTTTTCTTTTATTTTTGTAATTAAAGTTTTTATTATTTTTGAACATTTAAACAAACATAACAATACAAAACAACAAAAACCACACTCAGTGAGGGGAAAAAAGGGGGGGGTGAGTAATTCTAAATAAACTGTTGCACACACAAGACCCTTAAATTCTTATTCAGACTGTATCTCACATTGTCATCGTGCTGTAGACCCATAAAAACAGAAGCTGTCCCATCGTTCTGTTAGTCTCCCTCTTGCTGCTCAGTCTTCCCAGCATTGTCTCGCGTGCGGCATTTTCAGTCATTTTCTCCTTCCACACTTTCAGGGTTGGAGTCCGAGGTTCTTTCCAAAGTGTTAAAATAAGACGAACACAAGTCACAAGCCCAGTGTTTAACCCTCTGAAGCCTGCTTTGTCTAACTGTGGCACCTCGCGTCTGTCCCCCAATAGGCACGATCTCGGTGATCTAGGTCATTTAACTTTCACCCAGCTCTTCATATATTTTCAAACATTTTCCCATATTGAGGAGACCAGTGGACATTCCCATAAAGCACGTACTAGCGTACCTTTTTGCTTCTTGGCACTTCCAACACAGGACATCTTTACCAGTTCCCATTTTATAAAGTCTCGTTGGTGTGTAATAGGACCTGTTGAGAGTTTTATATTGGGTACATTTACCTCCAGCCTCCCTACTGTAAAACCCATTTTCAGAGATGATTGAATCTCATGTTCCCTCGTCAAAGGAACGATCCAGATCTTTTTCCCAAATACTTTTAAGACTTTTACATGTGTTGTTTTTAACCCAGTGACATCAATTATACCATTTCAATGCCTTTGTAAGTAAGAGTGGAAGTAGAAGGAAATTCTCTATGAGACAACTGAGACAACTTTATTTGATCTTTCAGACAGTCTCTCATTTGTTAGTCTCACCAGAAATGGCCGGGTTCTTCCAAGTTAAACTTTGCTGTCAGATCTTTAAAAGACATGAGTGTGTTATCTTCATATAAATCACTTATTAATCTTATGTGCCACTGTGGCCAATAAATTCTTTTTGTTTACCTTTTCTATTTTTGGGTTGTGTCACAGGGTGCATATGTTTGAAAGTATGGGGACAGATTGTTGCCACACCATTTTTGAAAACTTTAAAATAGGGTTATCTACTCTATTCCCTTTATTGTCCGGTTTTTGAGCCAACACCTCAATGGGGGTAAATGGAAAGGCCAGTTCACCTTCCATTATGACCCAGTCCAGGTTTGAATTTGTTGCTGCCCAGTGTTTACACAGCTTGGACATTTCAAATGACATGCTGTAATGTTTTATGTTGGGTAGGGACAGACCCCCTTCTTTTCTCGGTTGGTACAGTCTACCAAGATTGACCCGAGGTCTACCACCATCCCAAAGGAAGTGTTTTATCATATTATCATATCCTAAGAAAATTTGTGATGAAATACAAATTGGTATCATTCCAATGAAATAATTAATCAGAGGAGCCACTACCATCGTTATTGTATTTACTTTGCCCCATAATGTCAACTGCAGCGTGCCCCACTTCTCCAGATTAGTTTTAATCCTACTAAGTAGTTTTCCTACATTATCAGTCATAATCTCATCAATATTCGGATTAAGTATTATTCCTAAATATTCCATCCATTTTTTAAGATATTTCAGGTGTGTGTGTGTGTGTGTGTGTGTGTGTGTGTG